CTGACATTCCAGTCCCGCCCCCAGCTCCTCCCCGCTGTGCTAGCCCCGCCCCCAGGTCCTCCTGGACGTTCTCTCCCGGGTCCCAGCTCCTCCCCCATGTCTTAGCCCCGCCCCTAGCTCTTCCCGGACGTTTTCTCCCCGCCCCTAGCCCCTCCCCGAACCTGGAACCCCTTTCCGTGTCCCGGCCCCAAGGCTCACCCTGGTAGGATGAGCCTCCCGGGCGTCCCTTTCCCTCCAAATTCGGAGTTCTCTAGAGATGTTACTCATTCTTAGCCTCCGCGGTCTCGAGAGCTTTCTGGGTTATTCATCGCCGCATACCCCCGCCCCGCCCTGACTCAGTTCCTTCTCGAAGTCCTCTCGTTTCTCAAACACATCCCCCAACATTTTCCGGGGGAAGCAGGTGCGACGGTCAAGTCGGGGAGAGGGTAGTGAAAGGGAAGCGTCCCCGAGGAACAGGCCCTGGGTCCCCAGCCCCCGGGTCTGACGCTCGGTCGGACTCTGTAGACCTTTAGTGAAAGGGGGACCCCGGTCCGCGAACGCGGGGCGGCAGGGTGGGGCGCGGTGGGGGCAGAGCCCCCTCACTCAGGGATTGGCAGTGCGACTGGGGCCACTTAGCCTCTCCGTGGCTCCGTTTCCTTTTCCGTGAGACGGAGTTAATAACAGTCCCATCCGGCTAGTTCGAAACTGCGAGCAAGGAGTTTAAAAGACGCCTGGAGTAAAGAGAGCGCTCGCGAAACGTGGCTGTGGTTCCTGTCGTTAAATGCCTTGGCTCACTCGTATCTCCCGAGCACCTGCCTAGTGCAGGGACTGCGCTGCGGGGGGCTGCAGACAGCACGCGCATAATTATTGATCGGGGACCGTGCTGGGACTGAACCCCATTCCCCCAGCTCGCGAGACCCCGCCCCCGCCCCAGACCCTGTTGCGGGCGCGGGCGTGCAGCGCGCGGCCCCTACCTGGGATGCGGGTCTGAGCCAGCAGCAGCAGCGGCGGCAGCAGCAGCAGCAGCGGCGGGCGGCCCATGTCCGGAGGGCGCTTCCGCGCGCCGCCTCCCTGCACCGCTTCTCTCCTTCTGGGCCCGGGAAGGCGGCAGTTTTGTGGCCTCGGGGGCTCCTCCCAGACATTTTGCGAAACAGCGAGTCAGCCCCAGATGCGTGGGCGCTTCCCCCTCCTCCCCCACGGGCCTCCCCCGCCCCAAACTTCCCTTCCCCGGGCGCGGCCGTCCCGCAGTGAGGGGCCTGGCTGGGCCGTGAGTCACCGAGCCGCGGTCGCGGTCGCAGCGACATCCCCAGACTGCCTGGATGCAAATCCCAACTCTCTGTCTTCCTGCTCTGGGACCTTGGGCAATCACTCTCCTCCGCTGCGAAATGGGGAGAAAACTTGTCCTGTTGGGAAAATCGAATGTGGCTGATTATTAGATAATATTAGGATTTTTGTTAGTTTCAGCAGGAGGATAATGGTATTGTGGTTATGTGGGAAAATGTCCTTATATAGAGACGCATGCTGAGATATTTGGGAGTGAAAAGACATAATTTACCTTAAAACACTTTAGCCAAAAAAATAGATATCGCCGTTATGAAAATGGTTTTGTGGTTAGGTGGGGAAATTGTTCTCATCTTTTAGAAATGCTCACTGAGGCCGGGCGTGGCGGCTCATGCCTGTAATCCTAGCACTCTGGGAGGCCCAGGATTCTGGGAGACAGGGGATTGCTTGAGTTCAGAAGTTCAAGACCAGCCTGAACAAGACTAGACCCCTTCTCCATTAAAAATATAAAAATTAGCCAGGCATGGTGGTGCATGCCTGTAGTCCCAGCTACTCGGGAGGCTGAGGCAGGAGGATCCCTTGAGCCCAGGGAGCTTGAGGTTGCTGTGAGCTAGGCTGACACCACGACACTCTACTCGGGGCAACAGAGTGAGACTCTGTCTCAAAAAATAAAATCCTCACTGAAGTTTTAGGGGTGAATGTCATAGATGTCTGTATCAACTTTAAATCACTTTAGAAGAAAATAAAGGCAAAATAGCCAAATGTTTGTATCAATCATATCAAGGTAATGGGCATATGAGAGCTTACGATGCCATTCTATCTCCTTGTCTGTGTGCTTGAAAAGGTTTGTAATAAGTAAAAGAAAAAGAAAAAGTAAAATAAAATGCAAAAGATAAAATAGTCTCCCTGTCTTAGGATGCTTCTGACAAAACAGCAATTTAATGCAGGCGAAATGCCTGGAACAGTCACTGGCCAAAACGGAGGCCCCAAGAAATTCCTTCGGCATTTGCTAAGGACCTGCTTGGTGCTGGGCACTGGCCCAGGAGCTGGAGACACAGCAGGAAACAGGGCAAAGCTCTCACCCTTGGGACACTGACAGTGAGGAGTAGACATGGTTATCTAATCTTTCGCTGTCAGGCAGTGATAAGCGATACACTTAGATAAGTGATAAACTTAGAAAACAAAACAGGTTGGAGGAGGCCTGGGGGTGGACGTGTAGTGTGAGCTGTTTTAGGTGGGTGGTCCGGGAGGCCTTCCCTGAGCAGGTGGTGTTTCAGCGGAGGCTGAATACAATGAGGGAAGAAGCTGGGCAGATACGTACAGGAACCTATCCAGCCAAAGGGAACAGCCAGTGCGAAGGCCTGAGGTGGGAGTGTGAGATCTAGAACAGCAGAGAGGTCAGAGTGGCTGGAACAGAGTGGGAGAGGGAGAGAATAGTAGGTGATGAGTAAGTAGCTACCTCTGCCACGGTAATAATGATTATACTATGTCATTCTCATTAATTCATTGAAGCCATAAGCTAATAATTTTAAGATAAGGTAAGAAAAGTCCTAAAGATACCCTCTTTCCTAAGAGACAATATAGCCCACTGGTTAAGAGTGTGGGAACGGGCCTCAGACTGGGAGATTTTAAATTCCATCTAGTTATTAGCTGTGTTACCTCCTGGAGGTTACTTGACCTCTCTGTGCCCTTTGAGTGCTTTATCTGGAAAGTAGAGAGAGAGCAAGTGTTTCCTTCCCAGGTCTGGTGTGCTGGGGAGATAAACGAATGCACCTATGATGCTTCCCACAGTGCCTGGCATGTAGTACGTGCTCAATGAAAGTGGTAGCTGCTGGTATTTTTGTTGTTGTCCCAACTGTGGATTCTGACCCTACGTTTCCTCTTCCTGGAGTGAGAAAGGAGCTGGAGATGCATCATCCACTCTAATGTCAGCAGTTATCATGCTGACAACTGCCAGAGCCTTCCCTGGTTGGGTCACCCCGGGCCAATGATGTCCTTTGTGAGCCTCGGTTTTCTCGTCCGGAAAATGAGGCCCCTCTTGGGGTCGGCATGAAGACTAAATGAGATATTAATGTGCGTGAGGTAGGGAGACAGAAAGCTGGGGGGTCGGTCCGGGCAGGCTCGAGACCCAGTTCAGCCACTTGCTTCTGGGTGGCCCTGGGCAGACGGCTTCACTCCACTGATGCTTGGTTTTCCCACCTGTTATGAAGGGGGTGTGGGTGGGTGGGAGGCATCTGTCGGTGGAGAGAAAACTCAGGTTTGAAGGTCACACAGAGCTCTGTAGTCTGGCGCTGCCGCTTCCTGGGGGGATGAGCTCACCGCTCTGGGCCACAATTTCCTCTTTTGTTTAAAGAATGAGGGAGGCAGCTCGGAGCCCCCTCAGCTCCACCTCGGACTTCTCTGGTCTCCTGGAATCTCTGTCTGTCTCTCCCTTTCTGTGCCTGTCTTTGTCTTTTCCTATCTCACTGTTTTCTTCTTCTTCTTTTGTCTCTGTCCCTCTCTCTCTCTCTGTTTTCTCTGTCTCTTTGTGTCTTTCTGTCTCTGCTTCTCCCGTTTCTCTGTCTTTGTCTCTCTCCATGCCTGTCTTTCTCTTTCTGTCTCTCTGTTTCTGTTCCTGCCTCTCTGACTCTCTCGGTCTCTCCCGCAGGTGACACACACCTGTGAGCTTCCGGTGACATGGTAAGGGAGGGGACAGGCAGGGGGCTGGGCCAGCACGATCCAGAAAAGCGTCAGGAATGTCTGTTCCTTCTTCCCTGTGACTCACCTGGGCCTCACCGGGCTCCGCTTGCCTGCGGGGGTTTCGGGGTTTTGGGGGCTTCCCGGTGAGAAGAGGAGAATTTCATGCAGAGACAGGGTGAGGGAGCGAGAGCGAGAGATTGAGTGACATGAGGAAGGCAGAGGGAGAAGCAGCAGAGGACAGGGATGGGAGAGATGAACGCAGAGGCACAGAGAGGGAGAGACAGAGAGCTAAGCAGCACAGGGGAGGAAGAGGGAGGTGGGAAGGAGGGAGAGGGAGAGGGAAGAAGAGACCACAGACTGACTCAGGGCGGGTAGAGAAGGAGAGAGAGAGACTATGAGATTGATGGAGGGAGTTAGAGAGAGCAACACCCAATTGGGACTCCCTCAGCCTCTTGCCACCTGCCCTGGGGACGTGCCCACCTTCTGACCTGGCCACGGGGAGGGCCCTTCTCTGGGCTGGGAAGCAGGAACGAGAGCTGATGACAGGGGAATGGCCACAGCCCACCTCTCCCTTGTCTAGGAGGCCTAACAGGCCACACTGATGTGGTTTTCAGATCCTGGCCTGGCCACCTCCCAGACGCAGGGGACTGCCCCACTCAGGGCCTCCCTAGCAGGGCGGAAGAGCTGGGAAACCCTTGAGTCTGATACCTCTTTCCCCTCGCTTTCCAGGCAGAGAAACTGAGGTCCCAAGACGAAACTTTATTTATTTATTTATTTATTTTTGAGACAGAGTCTTGCTTTTGTTGCCCTGGCTAGAGTGAGTGCCGTGGCGTCAGCCTGGATCACAGCAACCTCAAACTCCTGGGCT